CTTCCTTCCTTGCTTCCTTGCTTCCTTCCTTCCTTGTTCATATCATTACATCAAATTTCTAAAGGTAATAATCTAAGGTTTGTTTTGCCAGCGCTTAGCCATAATTGCAGTACAATTTTTATTTGAGAACGTCAACAATTTGAGCCAATTACGGTTCTGCGGCATAACTGAGCGAATCGCTTTATCTTGGTGTCGCCTGATTGGGTGTAGGTAAAATGACATCAATAAAGGCAAACTTGCTATCATTTGATTGGTTGATATGGAATGACCTTGCGCAAGCAGGCAAAGTCAGTTGTCGTTTCCTGATTGGTTGAGAGGTAATGACGTCAAAAACGCAATAAAGTTGCCATCACCTGATTGGTTGCTAATGACGTTCAAGAGTGGAAAATTTCTGTCCCTTAAGAGATTTTAGTGGTTTTGCCAAGGTTACTCAGTCTTAGAAAATTTTAATTAAAAAAAAAAAAAAAAAAAACCTGAAAAAATTGAAAATTTCAATTTAAAAAAATATTTTCATAAACTGCTTTCCTTCGCAATTTGCTGGCATGTCTACTTAACAAAAGCTTAAAATTCAACTTCAATAAGCCGCCCAATAATATAAATGCGATTGCTCTCATACTAAAACCTGTACGAATATAGGAAAATTACCCAGCAAAGTTGCTGTTTTCGATTGATTGAGCTGTGTACATGATCAGTGTAGATCACGCCATTTTATATTTTTAATTAGACGTGAGACAGTTGGCTTGTACGTATGCTTCTATGCACTGTGTTTTTACGTTTAAGATATTATAGTAAGTTGAAATTCAAATGTTCCACTCAACGCTATATCTTATCGAAAAACTTTTAGCGATGTATTTAGAGATAAGATAATTCATAACTTTTTTTCAGGGAAAATTAAGGTAAGCTTTAAAATCATGTCAAAGTAATCTTTTAAATAATACTTTATACTATCAGTAATACACGTATTGATCACTTGGACAGATAAAATAGCAATTGCCAAAAAATAAAAATGAACAACAACAACAACGAAAGAAAAAAAAAGAAGAAAAAAAAGAAGGAACAACAGCGGAAAAGGATCAGACGCAACGAACCATTAAAAAAACCAAAACGTGACGAAAACGATGTACTTCAAAAGCCCTCCCTTGAACTCAGACAATTATTGAATTATTATCACATCATCTTTAGCTGCTGTTAAAATTCCTAATTATAAAAGTTATATTTTTACGACACTTCTGCATTGCATATCGATGTACAAATGAGGACATTTTTTATTCATCTTATTCCGTTTTTTTTTTTTCACCCTGGAAACGTACAGAGGGTCTTATTTCTTCTTTTTTTTGTTCTAGTTGTTGTCGTTGTTCATTGTTCTACTTGTTCTTGTTCTTGTTCTTGTTCTTGTTCTTGTTCTTGTTCTTCTTCTTTATTCTCATTCATCTTTTCTCATTTATCCCTTCC